TGGGCCATCAAACGCCTTCGCGGTTATCTGTGGTCGACCAAGTTCATCATCTATTCGGACCACAAAGCATTGGAGAGCATTCGCAAGGTTGGAGAACACAACGCTAGGGTGCAACGATGGCTGGAATTCCTGTCCAACTTCACCTACACCCTGAAATATCGGAAAGGTTCGGCAAACGCCAACGCGGATTTTCTTTCGCGGTTGCCTTTACCAGCACAAGACACGGACAAAACCGGCCCCGACTGCATTGATGGTGTCGATCAAGCGGGTGTTTTCCTCATTTGGGTTTGCGGGCGCAACTATCACTCGTCGTCTACACCGGAGGTCGGTTTGGGTGGGCTCCGCCCTCCTTGCACGGCAGGAGTCTTTTCGCCCCCAGCGTTGCAGCCCTCCGATTTTGGGGATTTTCGCCGACATCACCTGCGTCGGGTGGATGCTCTGAAGGACTCAAAGATTGCCTGCGAAAATTCTCAGCGATCCCCGGGGGTCTTCATCGCCTCGCCTGTTCTCGCATCTTCAGGGCCTGCTTCCTAAATGACTTCGGATGCGTCCCGCGTGATGTCTCCTGTCGCGTCTTTGGCGACTAGATATGTGCACGTTTTGTCTTCGCTTCCGGAGCAGGGACCGCTCATTTCTTCACGGACTCGGGCCACAACTACCGCTGCTTCCGGAGGAATCGTCACCGGTCCCGCTTATTTCGGACGCCAGCCGCGGGCTACCATCGTCCCTCGGACATCGTCGCCTGCCCGTTGCTCTAGCAGGTCCCGCTCGACAAACAAGGCCACCCGGACCGCCGCGCGTCTGCTGCCGCCATCCGCAACGCCGGCATCAGCGTTTTCGTCGACTGCTCTTGCGCCACCGGTGTCTTCGCCGTTAGCGGCGCGCCCTGCATCCCCGACTTCGCCTTCTCTACAGGTTTCGCCCGGGACTTCGCCACTCACGATGTCCCCTTCGCGGACATCACCCCGGACTGCGGCTGCCCCAGTCGCTGATGCTCCGCCTTCTCCCGCCTCTTCCGTTGGATCTCCTGATTTTTTTTCGGAATCTCCTGATTTGGACACCTCCCACTTGCGGGCTTGTGTTCAGTCAGCACTGTGGACTGGGCTAGGGAACAGCAGCGGGAGAGCGAGTGTGTAGTGGCTATGCGTTTTTTGTCTCGCGGTTCTCCCTCCCCACCCCCTCCGGGCTTGCTCACTCTCTGTGCTCCTCTTCGCTCCCCTCGGCTAGATGATGTGCTTGTCTTGGCGGCGAAAACCAGACTGCACAGGACCGATGACAACATCACCCTCCTTGTACATAAATCGGCGACGTCGCCGGTTGGGCGCTCTGGCGGCAGGACCACTCGTCTGCCGGAAACTGGCGTTCCCCGTGTCTACGTGCCAATGCTGATGCGTTCGTGGATCCTTCATGCATGCCATACGGCCGCGTCCTTCCATCTCGGCGTACATCGTACACAGCGTCTGCTCGAGCACTTCTACTGGTGGATTGGTTTGGATGGTTCCGTGCGCTGGTGGCTTCGGGCGTGTTTGGTATGTCAAGCTCGCAAGACTTCACGTCAGACCGCTCGGTGGCCCGTCATCGCTATGCCATTGCCGCAGGGGCCTGGTACGGTCGTCGGCGTCGACTTCTTCGGACCTCTGCCAGTGACTGCCAAGGGCAACTCCTACATTTTGTTGTTCACAGACCGTTTCAGTCGGAGAGCCGACATGTTCGCAGTTACAGCGGCGGAATTTACGGCGAGAGGGACGGCTCACATCTTCGTCAACCAATACATGACCAAGTGGGGATGTCCGACTACGTTATTGTCGGACAATGGACTACATTTCTGCTCGAAGCTCTCCATGGCGATCTACAAGGTGATGAAGATCAAGAAGGTCACCACCAGCTCTTACCACCCACAGACCAACGGCGGCACTGAACACGTCAACCACACGATGGCCCAGATGCTTGTGGTGGTCGTCAACGAACAGCAAAACGATTGGGACATACATCTCCCGCACGTTGAGTTTGCCTACAACAATTCCGTGAACCAGTCTACTGGATTAGCGCCAAACGAGATCCACATCGGACGCATCCCGCGACTCCCGCTTTCGGTCTTCGATCGTCCCACGGTAGGTGGTCATCAAAGCTTGGCCCGCGATCAACTCGAGTATTGCAACCTGGCTGTCGATCGCCAGCGCCGGGCCTACGAACTTGTCCGCGAGTACAACGCGCTGAAGATTTCGCGAGTCGAACACCGCAATTCATCCCTGCTGGACACCATCCACAAGCTCCCTCAGTTTACCGTTGGCGGGTGGGCTTGGGTGTACAACACGGCTGCTACAATTTGACAGGGTGTGGAGAAGGACACGGACCAACAGGTGCTCAAGGCCAAATTCGCACTCTCCTGGACGGGGCCCTACAAGGTTCTTGCGGTGGGTCCCACCTCTGCCGACGCCACTCCGGACGGCCCCCCGTTGGCGCATAAACTCCTCTACCTGGACCTGCCTTCCGTCTGCCAAAGCAAGCAGGGTAACCGTACATATCGAGTGGCTCGGACTCGCGCGGCACAGCGGGAGCTAGCCCGGAATCGTGGAGAACGCTATTTGCCTCCTGGGGCTGATCTTGTGCTTGATGCGACTTGGCTTCACCGTTTCAGCACTTCGCCCCTCCCTGTTGGCGCGCGGCTGTGGTTCAAGGCCCGTGATGGATTGTGGTGGACCGGACGCATTGGTGCTCATCGGGGCGGCTCGTACATCGTTCGATTTTTGGATGACCCGGGCCCAAGCGTTCTGCCTCTGCCTGCGCATCTCTACTCCACCGCCTTGGACGCCGTCTGTGGATCATGGTGTTTAGAGAAACATCGTTCGCGCCCTCTGGGCGACAACCGTGGTCGCACTCCGCTCCTTGCCGACTCCTTACCGTCGGCTGTTCCCGCCGTTTCTTCTTAACGTCATCGTTTTCATATACCAATCGGTCTATTTTGGTCTTTCGTGCCATCCTTCTCGCCGACGTTTTGCTTTTGTTTTTTTGTTTTTCTGTCACCTTCCGTTTTGTTTTATTTTGTTTTGTTTGTTTTTCTGTCTTGCTCTTTTCTCTCGTCGGCTTATTGTGTTTTGGACGCTGGGGCAACGCCGCCTCAAGACACGCAGTGTCGAGTGATCCTTCTTCCTTGTTGCCTGCATTGATCTGAATCAGTGAA